GATTTTGCAACCCCTGGAATATCGAGAAGGTAAAACCTTGAAAAACATTACAATATCAAATCTAATCATATATAAGTATGTAAATCATACTATATATATATTATATATATATAAATCATACAATATATATATATATATATATATATGAATTATGCTATATATATATATATATATATATATATATATATTATATATATATATATAAATTATGCTATATATATATATATATATATATCATACAATATATATATTATATATATATATAAATTATACAATAGATATATTTTATATATTAGTATAAAAATTATACGTAATACAGAAAAGCATTTGTTTTGATCCATAAAATTTAGAACTGTACAGACCAATCCTAGCACAGATAAATCAGCACTTAAGAAAAGATCAATACAATCAAAATGTCTATGTGAAATCGTGCTCCTAAAGTCAGCCATTTATAAACAGTATACATTCTCTGGAATAAATATATCAGGCATACATGAGAATACTACTACAGTCATTTCAGGTTTTGTTTTAACTGGTAAAGAGATATTTTTCACACAATAGTCCGCCACAATAATGATTTTCTAATATTGTATTATAATGTTGTGTAATATTTTAAATGTTTTCACAGCCAGTTATTAAATAAAAAGAAATTGCAACATGCTGTATAATTTTAATATTGAAATACAGTTAAGGATTTGAGAAAATTATATTTTTTCCTAAGATGTACTCTAGCTGTGGAATTAAATTTTACTAGGATAAAAAATTTCTGTGTCTTTTGAAATATATTTTTGAATAAAAAAAATAATTTTCTAAATATTGTAATGAAATGTATCTATTCAATCATACCTTATTTAATGTGAAGGAATTTTTGTATATGTGAAGATATTTCCTAAATAGCAAACATTTTTTATAAATTAATTACTTGCACATAAATTACTCCACTGTAAATTTTTAATTTCAAGTTCATTTTCAAATTCCGAACATACAGATTTTCGTAGCGAGAATGTCACAACCTAGCTATTCTGGACATCATTCTGTACATTCTCAGAATTAACTTATAGGAGAACAATAGGTTTAGATTATTGTGTTTTCATGTAAATATCATGGAACAGTAAATATCTATATAACAAACATTATATGATTGTTGAAAAGCAGTAATTTTTTTACAATATCGAAGAATCATCGTAAACTACTAAAACACTACAAATATCAGTAACACCCAAATATACCTTGTGCATTTCATTCAAGACTTTTTCAGAGAAATATTACAGTACAGGTATTTATACACAAAAATGGTGCAAAATTGATGGCATTTTACTGTATATAAAAAGATAATTCATTTTAGGCTACGTATTTCAGGAAATTAAAATTTTGTTAGTATTTTTTTGACCTATCCTTTCCATTTGATAAAAAAGATGTTATTTTGAAATGCAAATGAAAACAACCAAATTTCAAATGATGAATTCAAGCAGCATAACTTTTAATGTTTTTCCTTCCCATAAAATTAAATGATAACCAGGTATGAAATAGAAGAGAGCTGCAGACAATACCTGATACAGTTTTAATATTAAATCTAAAAAAATAATTAAAATATTTTTAACTCTCATTATTCTAAGGCACAACATACTAACATTGATCTCAAAAATAGAACTTTTTTTCCATTTAAGAGAAAATCATTCTGAAATCACAAGGAATGAACGAATGAAACAAATGCTTCTTCATTGGTATGGGTAGTTAGAATTCACATCAAATTCAAGCAGAATCTACATGAAGTGTTGCTTTAAAAATTACTCTGTTGAAATCCATTAAAACCAACTTTTGTTGATTTCTTAGAACAGTAATTCTGTTGTTTAATTGGTAATTACATATTTTTTCTCTAACATAACACCATGTTATAGTTTACATATACCTACTTACAATAACAGCGCTCTATTATAATAATTTCAATATTTTAATGATAAATGATGTTAAATAAATTTAACGAAAAATAGTTTGATCACAACAATATCAACAAAAAAATTCTGAAATGATTTAAATACAAGAATAGGGACTGGTAATTATTTAACAAAACATGAAAATTGCACTTTCTTTGTATAGCATTAACAAAACGAAATTTCAACATTTTCTGTGTTCCATAGCAATCTGAATTTTCTTCAAACTTTGGTGTCTTTTTAATCTACAAAACTGAATCCATTTGTATTTGAGAACATTTTAGAACCGACACATTTCATTGAAGCAGACCAAGGAAAGCCAAAGCCACTTTTCTTTGACAGTCCTGTTCCCAACAAAGCATTCAATTCAATTTTAAGATTTTCATGTTTTATGGGCGAGTTTCATAGTATATCTGTCCACTAAGCTTTAATAGTTAAAGGTCAATGTCACATTCTTAAATACAGGTTTCTTGGATTGAAACTCTTCTGCAAGGGAGACTACTATCAAGACAACGAATCATATATCCTTAAATATGTATTTGTCACTGACGGTTTCTGATAGTCCAAGTTTATTAAGTATGAGTGTCCCCTTGCTTCCACATATTTTACCAAATTGCAAGAAAAAAAGTGGGTACATTATGAAAATGTTTTCAGATATTTAAAGCTACTGAAGTTCATCTTCAAGAGTTTGACTCCTCCTCCTATAAAAAAAAACAAAAAAAATCACATCTCCCCAACACAATTTTTAGCATAGAATTTAAGAAGTAATATCTTGTCTCCTAGTTCAAATAAAATCAAAGGCAACACTTGGTTAGTTACAATTTAAATATTTTTATGTTTTCTACTTGAAAGCTAACGTAATTTGAAATTTCCAAATTTCTTCAAAGTCTGCTACAAACCAGAAATAAAAGAACACATAACACATGAAACTAACAGAGCTGAGCTACAGCAAATTCTAACTAAAGCAATCAAGTCAACTTTTAATTACATAAAAAAAGGTATAAGAAAAAAATTGAGCCTTTTCAGATACGAAAATAAAATCTTATAAAACTATCATTAAGTAGTATGAAGAAGGATATGACACTTTGAATATATATGAACAAATGAACAGTTTAGTCATCTATGAAAAATTCAAAAAAATGTTCCAACACCAACTAAGAACAAATAATCTACATATGGAATATATATGTGAAATTACCGACATTTACAGTGACAATAAGTTGGAGTGGACTCCTGTAAGAGAATAGTCTCTGCTATCTGTAGGGAATTCCTAATACTGCTTTTATATCATTTTTAAAGAAATATTCATACCTTGAATAGTTTTGTTTTAAATAAACAAGAAAAATGTGAAACAAATATTGTATGGAAAATAAAATGTCAACACCACTTAATTCTGTACCCTATATATATTTTTTTGTAAAAATTACCACGAAAATAAAATCAATCAATGTGGCATGTTTTGTTTCACGGCCATGAATGTAGAAATATAGGCACAACTAATAGTAACACATTCCAACACAAAATTATGTAGATTATACTTTAACAAATATATAATCAAGTCTAACCACCCAGTTAGTGCGAATGCAAACAAAAAAAAAAAAAAAAAAAAAAAAACAATAAAGCTCTGAATTTCAAAGGATGATAAAGAATATTGCTGACACATAAATCTGAAAATGTGTTATTAGCTGTCAGCGACAAAAAACATCTAACATGTTTTTTCAAACTAAAACTAACAAACGTTTTTACACAAAATATAAAATTCTATTCCATTTCATGATAATCTATGATGATCAAATATGAATATTCATGACATATGATCATTATATATGAATATTCATTACATATGAATATTCATCACCTGAAAAATAGGAATATTTACATACCTAATTAGATATGGAAACAGAATATATAGGTAATTAAGAGACAAGGCACTAAAAATATATATACAGTGCCCATTTTAATAACATGATGATGATCTCACAAGACTTAAATAATATCTCATCTTGAAAAACTAAATTGCTCCTGCTTTAAGACATTGGTATTTGCATACATAATGAAATGTTTAATGTGAAATGACCATCTCATAAATATGCAAATACTGCAGGAGTCAAATTAACCTAATGTGAAAATCTGCATCTCAACAAGATCTTTCTACCCCAGTGAAGTAAGTATACTAAGAAGCCAAGTAACATTATGACTGAACCAAAGGAATTAAACTAACAGTATGCTCCTGTGTTAAATTCTTCAAAAGACTTTTATCAGAATCTTTGTTTGCTTCAAATTTAATATTTGGGAAGAAATTATATCTTAGGATATTGATACGTCATCTTCACATTTAAGGTTCAAGACTAGCTTTGTATAAAAAAAAAAAATAATTACATTTCTTATAGATATAGCTTAATTTGCATACATAAGGTGGGATTACATCAAAGAAATTGTTTTATCAAAGATTTAATATCCAACATATATGAAACAGTATACTTATGATTCTAACACATCTTGAAAATACTAATTTTGATACCAGTGACTTTACATACTGAATTTCAACTGTAATTGTCAAAGAACAGATTCATAAACAAGGTGAGGAATTTTTTCCTTCAAAATTCATAACAGGAATGAAATCTCACTAACCATAAAATGATTTGTTCTTTGCAGCTCTTGATTTTAAACTTTAACATCAAACTTATGTTAAAGAAAATGTTTTAAAATAATAAAAAAAAAAGGATTATTTGATCATTTAATTCTGTCACAGCAAAGTTAAAATTTAAATCCAAAATAGGTCCACATCCCGCCATGACATCTTGCTCTTAACACTAACATCAGTTTTAACTCAATATAAATCACTAACATAGCACTATTAAAAGATTTAAAAAAAATTTTTTTTTGTACATCTATTTGTTTTATTTTATAAATAAAGATTGATTAATAAAATATAAACTTTTTGATATACAATATTTTATAAGGCTTAGAGAGAATATAATATTTCATATAGAAACTGTAAAAGAAATAACTTAAATACAAACATCAACTATTGAATAAAACTTAATTGAATTTATAAAAGTCAGTGTCAAGGATTTTTGAAAATTTCTCACAGAATTCTACGTTAATTAATACAAATATATAAATCTATATGTTATTCATCAGTCTGGTATCAGTGGTTGACTAAAACTTTCACAAATATCTATAATCAAAGGACTTTGGTTTTTAAACAACAACCACAACCTGAAAGGTGTTAGATTACAATGACTCAAAAATTCACAGAAGTTATAAAGACAGGTACAGTGAGAAAATAACATCATGTTTGATGGCTGTGTAGAAACACTGTATCACAAATACCAGTTATGGAAAGTCGGGCCGAGATTCTGATTTAAATTCTTTCGAAATAAACTTTTGAAAAAAATCCAGATTCTTCTAACAAATAACAGAAAGAATTCTGTATTATCAAATATTCATAATATCAGCCATTGTTAAATACTTTAGAGTTCTGGTGGAGTTTATTACTTCCTGTAAATAATGAGGGCCTTTCTTGAATTGTTTTGTTTTGCTTTTGGTATGATTTTCCTTAACATTACACCCAAAGTTGTCATCAGAATTGTGTATTTGTCGCATTAGTGGAGTTAATGTTGCCACGTTTTACTTTCGTGACCGTCTCTGCCGTGTAAAGTGCTTCCTTGGCCAAGTAGTTTTCTCTCAACATCTGCAGTTTCACTGTGCCCGGCATGTCTGGGATGAGGTACATTACTAACCAGGTTGCAAACACAATCAGGTTCTGTAAACATAATGCAAATATAATAAAATACAAAATATCTTTTAATACTTAAAACATAACTATATATCAAATTATAATGAATATTCATAAGGTCTGAATCAAACTAACTAAAACAATTGATAATTCACAAACGAAGACAAAATCTTAAGTGTAAAAAAAATTTTTTTTTTTCAAAGAGCAAAGCCATCAGAGAGTGCCGAGATCCAGATAAATACAGCAAAAACATTAGAAAAGATAAAATTCCTTTTGAAATCAAGTAACTTGAATCTATTTATCCAGAAATATATCTTAATTCAAATTTATTAGCTATGTTTAATATTCTCACCGATGTTCACTGAAGTTAATTGTCTTAGTTTTCATTTGAATTTGAAGTCACCAAATAAGCGAGAAATATTTCTAAAAAAGAACTGCAATTTATCTAAAGTTTCCTCAAACAAGTTTTTTAAAGATAGATTGAGAAGAAAAAAAAACTTGAAAACTGACTTGAAAACCCTGAAAGTAACTTATTCATGTTATCTGAATATCAGCCTACCTCAAACACGACGATGAAAGCCAGCCTTGCGGCCAGAATGTGCCAGTACATCAGAGTAAATGTGTACTCTTCACCTGTCGCTATTCCTGCCTCTCCAGCGTAATTAGTGGGCGGCTGACGGTAATCACGGTATCTGAGCGACAGAGCAGACAATTATCCAAATAACCTGTGATTAACTTTATAAAACTTCTTGAAGTGAAATGCATCAAGACTTCTTTGTAACATTTTACAGATCTTAAGTTTGACCCCAAAGTTTGTTTGTCTTTTTAATAAACTGCATTTATATTGCTTAATAAGTCCATCTATGGTAATAAGCCCACTTATATATATATATATATATATATTGATGTTCAGTAAAATGTCAATAAATACTATTTCCTGGTCCTGCAATAAGCCAGCTCCCTTATTTTGAACCCAAATTTCATTATTGGCCATGTGGGCTTATTTTTAGATAAAGTAGTATGAAAAAACAAGGTGAAAAAAATCTCAATACATCTGTGATTGTCAGGAATTTGATAACATAACAATTGATAAAAAGAAACCTTCACATAATTTGTCTCCTTAATTTCAAGTTTTCAATATAGTTTTACCCAAATGACCTCTCTTTGCTTACCTGCAGTATGTGACATTCCCAAATACATCAAATTGAGGGTCATCTGGAATGCTCTTTGCCTGGAAGTCGTTAACGTCAAAGACAGACAGACTGAAATTGGCATAGCCATTCATTGACTGGTCAGAGCTGTAACCATATCTGTACACCAGCTTGGGGACAAACTCTGACGTGAAGGCAATTATCACACCCTGTATAACAAGAAAAAAACCTGATGCAAAAATTTCCTCAGAACAAATTTTAAAAGGAAAAATCTGACAGAAAAACCTCAGAAAATATTATTTCATTTCAGTAATAATTACTATACTTTCATATGGTTTAATTCGTCTGGTACTTTTTCCGAAGTTTTTGTGTAAATCTTTCTTTTGTTCATATTTTGCCCTAGTTTTATGGCATTTGAGTTTGGATTATGATTCTGTTCACTTGTTGGTAATTTCTTGGTATTTTTTTTTTTTTTAATGTATTTTAAATTAGTATCATTAACAGACAAACAGCCTAACTTTAAAGAAGGCTGCCCACACCTACAACCCTGCAAACTGAGTATGTCCCTAGTCATCTCATGGTGGGGACATTAAAATCTAAAATGAAATTTCACACTAACAAGGAATTTTAATTCAAGAAATTGTATGAAAAATCAATATAAATATGTAATTATGTTACTGACAATTCAATGACCAGGAGGATTTTATGTGAGACAGATACAGACAAAATACACTTACATTAGATATCACCGCAATGGCTGATATCCCTCTCAAAATCCCAAACCAAATTCCTGGAGAAAAGAAAACAAGGGTTTCAGGACGACGATAATTTGTATGCAAATCGGAAATGACCACAAACTCTCCACCAAAATTTGATAGTTGTAATAAATATCAACTGCTTACTAACAGCATTTGCAAATTTCGACTAAATAAGCCTTATTCATTTTAAACAGTTTTCCAACTTTATTCAAAACTGAGTTTACATTTCCACTTTGTTTACTCTCAGGCTTTAGAAAATAATTATCACAATATCTGCACATTTTTACATTTCTACAGATATACAGGCATCCGTTTAAATATCCACTGGTCACTGTATTGAACACGTACCTATGTCTTGTGCCCGTGCTGCCATTGGTCGTTTCCACTGCGTAACGAATTTGTAAGCGTCCAATCTAATCTCAAATACGTTGTTCAGCAAAGCAAACAAAGGAGCCAGTGGGAAGGCAGCCACAAAGATGGTGACGAAACCATACTGGATTACTGTCAAAAAGATTATACATTTGTAAATAACGACAAAACCATACTGGATTACTGTCAAAAAGATTACATATTTGTAAATAACGACAAAACTATACTGGATTACTGTCAAAAAGATTACATATTTTTAAATAACCAGAAAACTTACTTGTTACAAAAAGATTACATATTTGTAAATAACGACAAAACTATACTGGATTTCTGTCAAAAAGATTATATATTTGTAAATAACCAGAAAACTATACTGGATTACTGTCAAAAAGATTACATATTTGTAAATAACGACAAAACTATACTGGATTACTGTCAAAAAGATTATATATTTGTAAATAACGACAAAACCATACTGGATTACTGTCAAAAAGATTACATATTTGTAAATAACCAGAAAACTATACTTGATTACTGTCAAAAAGATTACATATTTGTAAATAACGACAAAACTATACTGGATTACTGTCAAAAAGATTACATATTCGTAAATAACGACAAAACTATACTGGATTACTGTCAAAAAGATTATATATCTATAAATAACAACAAAACAATACTGGATTACTGTCAAAAAGATAATATATTCGTAAATAACGACAAAACTATACTAAGGTATTGTCTAAATGATCCAACTCAGGTTATATAAGTTATCAATTTTTATTTTCCTATCATGAGTGGACAATAACATCGAAGGTGTACCAAGTCACATCATTACATGAAAACAGAAAACATTTCTCAAAGAAATTAAAACGTCTTTATAAAAACTTGGAGACCTGGAGTTAACATTGCTTAAATCGTTTACCCATTTCCAGATATTCATCAAACAGCCCAAGGTTTGGTATGTCAGCCAGATTAAAGTCTTGTTCCCATCTGGAATATACTTTCTCCTCGTTGGGGTCCTTGTTGGCTGACCGAGACTTAAACCACACCATCAGTTTTCTATGCAAGACATAAAGGAAAATTATCAGACATAATAAATATTTAAGGTCTAGTATATAACTGTATTTATCAAGCAATAAGACCAGGTAGGTTAACCTTCCAATTCAAAGTTGGAGGGTGGGCTTATAATAGGAAAAAATCAAATAATTTTGGGTAGGACAAAATTTTTTTTATTTAAGTAAATTGCAATAGATATGGGTTGAGCTTACTACTGGAAAAAAATGAACAATTTTTTTTTTTTTTTTTTCATAGTAGGACAATGAGATAACTTTTTGCTTCATTTTATCATAGTAAACAGTGATAGATATGGGGTGGGCTTATTACAGGACGATAACTGGTTTTTTTATTTTATTGTTAGGTTGGCATACTTCAAGATAAAAAATCCCATATTTTCCAGGAGATAGTGTTTTCACAAAACCATTTTTATGGTCTAGGAAATTATTATCCTTGTAAAAATGGAAATTATAAGTTAACACAGTGTCATCTGAAGATACTGAATTTCAACAAGATGCCAAATGGTCCTGTATTGCTCACCTGTCCTTCATCTTGAGAAGAAAATTTGAATCAGATTTCATTGTTATGTTGATACTAACACTTCATTTTTCCAGTTTGTTACAGTGAAGTATACTACCAAATGATTCTTGTTGTTCAGAAAAAAAGTCTTGAAAAGATTGATACGTTTGACCTCTCTGATCCTGAAGGTCAATCATTTAATTGTCCTCCTTCTCAGCTTGTTTAAGAAGTTGTTTTTTTTTCTCACCAAGAGACAGACACTACACCATGCAATAAGTGATTTTTTGGGAAGTTTACATTTACAGGAAAATGGGATTCTAAGAACTTGTCACTTTTCATTGTATTTCCTAGGAAATATTTCAACAAAAATAAATTTATAGCCCACTTACGGTAGAATGATTTCTTTGAAGTTGTTGAAGGCTTGTTTGCCGACCATGACCACAGCCAGTTGAATACATAGCTCTATCAGGCATCCAGATGGATCACACTGAAAATAAACATAAACAATTACTGTAATTACTCTCAAAATTAAGTATAGAAAATATAACATTTACTGTAAACATTCTGATATTAACAAATGAAAAAAAATAGGGAATTTGATAAATGACAATTTCAGAAATTCTCTCCTTTTTTCACTAAAAATAGAAATGAAAATGGAAATTAAATATCAAAATTATGCATTGTGTTACCATGACTACCAGCCAATAAAGCTCACAACCAAAGTAATCTAACCATCAGGACCCCCACTTTCCAACCACTCTAACCATCAGGACCGCTACTTTCCAACCACTCTAACCATCAGGACCCCCACTTTCCAACCACTCTAACCATCAGGACCCCCACTATCCAACCACTCTAACCATCAGGACCCCCACTTTCCAACCACTGTAACCATCAGGACCCCCACTTTCCAACCACTCTAACCATCAGGACCCCCACTTTCCAACCACTTTAACCAATCAGGACCCCCACTTTCCAACCACTCTAACCATCAGGACCCCCACTATCCAACCACTCTAACCATCAGGACCCCCACTTTCCAACCACTCTAACCATCAGGACCCCCACTTTCCAACCACTCTAACCATCAGGACCCCCACTTTCCAACCACTCTAACCATCAGGACCCCCACTTTCCAACCACTCTAACCATCAGGACCCCCACTATCCAACCACTCTAACCATCAGGACCCCCACTTTCCAACCACTGTAACCATCAGGACTCCCACTTTCCAGCCACTCTAACCATCAGGACCCCCACTTTCCAACCACTTTAACCAATCAGGACCCCCACCTTCCAACCACTCTAACCATCAGGACCCCCACTTTCCAACCACTCTAACCATCAGTGCCTTACCTCTTCTTGTCTCCTGTCCAATAGGCTGTAGTTATAGTCACCAGGTCGACCAACAAACCTGAAACACAAGAGGTACATTAATTCTTCTCAGTAATAAGTTGATGATTAATTCTGATAAACTGTTGTCATTCTACAATCAACAATACCTTCATTTTTATATTACTCAATGAAAATATTTTCAAGATATCAAAATATCCTTTTACACATAAAACAATGTGAGGGAAATCAAATCTGTCACAACTGAGAGTGTTTGACCTCTATACCAAAGATATGTGTCCTCTTTTTTAATAGTTGACCTACTTATCACAGATAGGTGATGTCCATCAAAGCGGGTGTTCAATACTTACTTGCCCTTGAAGAAAGCGATGTAAAAGATGGACGAATAGTAATTGACAAACTGGAACAGGAACATCTTAAATGTAAAGCCGTCTTCCCATTCTGTCTGGGTACGATGTTGTTCTGGAATGGCAGTCATAAGACCATGAACTCAAGCATGTAACTAAATCAATCATCCAAGCTCAAAACTCGTAACAGATATTCATAAATAATTTTATTGCAATAGAGATCTGACATTATTTGCCCCCTGATGTCTTAACCTTTTACTATATTATCAAAATACAATAAATTGCATGGTTAAACCAAACTCTATTTCAGTGCTCTGCACCAAATTAACTGTATGAAAAGTTATCAACTATCATCAGCCTCAAGACTCGGCCACCTTTACTACTGTGAAATCGTATATTTCTGTGCGATACAACTTTTGTTTTGTGTTTCTTGTTTTTATGTTTTGTTTACTATTTTATGCAGATATGACTTTGTGGATAAATGTTGGTCAAAATATCTACTTTTTCATTTTCATCAGTAAAATTTCATCAGTTCCTGGACATATGAATTCACATACAAAAAACATCCACAAAATCAAAGAAAATAAATTCATCACAAATAAATACGATTTTACAGTACATGCTGAATAACCAGTTCAATGTTGAATAGAAAAAGGTCTCCAATCTTTCTCCTTAATCACTGGATACATGAATGGAACAATTTGTTTCCCCAAATCACTATGACTCTATAGTTGGGTACTCAGAGTCGTGCTGACTGGAGCAATTAGACTATATATATGTTGCTGTTTATTTGAGAAAATTTACATTGAATTACTTTTTAGAATAAATTGATAACTCATGCAAGACTCTTTGATACAATTTCGACTGAACATTTATTATTTCACCATTTTAAGATAAACGACACATATAAATATATCAAATTTAATAACCAGGGAAATTTACAAAAACAAAATTGCATTTCGTTCACCTTTAAACTTGATTTCATTACATACACTTACCAAGATTTGTCAAGAACAGGGCGATTCTTTGATAAACCTGCAACCAAGCATTTCTCCACATTTAATATACAAACTCTGATGAAGAATTTACATTAATGACTAGTTATTCAGCTCTGAAATATATTTTTGACATCTTTGACAAAACTACTGGTTCGAATTGACATATTACAGATACAGCAGAGACTCTGGATGAAAATTCACACAAATTTATTATTTCCAAAGTTGTTTATAAAAGATTCTAAAAGAATGATGAAAATTTATCATTTTCATGATTTTTTACAAAACTGAGGATAACAAACTCTCACAGTTATCTGTCGCCATGGTTATTTACTAAACTAAGGACTAGAACTCTGACTAAGCTAATCATTTTAATGGTTAGATACAAAACTGAGGATGAAAACTCTGACAAGTTTGTCATTTTAATGGTGAAATACGAAACTAAGGATAATAAGGATGAGAAATCTAACAAGTTTATCACTACAATGGTTACTTACGAAACTGAGGATGAGAAATCTGATGAGTTTATCATTTTAATGGTTGGATACGAAACTAGGGATGAGAAATCTAACGAGTTTATCATTTCAATGGTTACTTACGAAACTGAGGATGAGATATCTAACGAGTTTATCACTTCAATGGTTACTTACGAAACTGAGGATGAGAATGATGACCAAGTTGATACAAGCTGCTGTTGTGCTGGCGATGAAGCTTGCTCGTGACTTGATGATGCCTTCCTGATTGGCATAGAGGATGGAGACAATGACGATTCGATACAAAATGACGCCAAACACTGCTGCTAATACAATGCACAGCTACAACAAAAATAAATATTCCTTATAGCCATGGTTTCCATAGTGCATTAATTGTCCCATGTAAATCACTCATAGAACAAACTCCGTCAATCAAACCATAGTTTGCTACACATTTGCAGTATTTTTCTTTGCTTTTTATATCAGTATATTTTAGAATTACCTATTGTAAAATCATAAATTTCCTTGGGGCTCAATTTTTGTAGTTTTCAAAACATTGCTTTCCCTGCAGATGCTTGATTTTCTGGCTAAATATAGCTCAATAAATGTACTTATACTGATTCCAACAGTTCGTGCTCATATGACTGTGAATTAAGAGTACATGTACCAGCGAAATAGAAAGATTTCACAGTATGTGATCTTTATCCTTGAAATTAATAGTGGTAAGAATCAAGTAATTTTTAGCTCTTATTTTTTTTCTTTTGATCCCTGTGTAAAGTTTATTCTGTTTATTAACCTAGCTCAGACTTCTCATCAGATGGTGTGATTACCTTAACATGTTTCCCTGATAAATAATAGAATAACACCAACATGGACAGTTTACAGTGTTCAGTGATCACCTCTGTCCAAAACAAGGTCTCTTAACACAGGTGGTCTCTTTTTAGAGGTGATCTCTGAACCGATACACAGGGTTAGGGTTTCAAAAGTTTAACAGATTGTTTATTTCTCTGAACTCAAATGGTCTCTTATCAGATATGGTATGCTGACAGAGATAGTCTCTGAACACAAGTGGATTCTTAATAGAGGTTGTCTCTTAACAGTAGTGGTCTTTAAACAATGGTCTCTTAACAGAGGTAGTCTCTGAACACAGGTAAATTCTTAACAGGAATTGTCTCTTAACAGCAGTGGTCTCTAAAACAGTGGTCTCTTAACAGAGGTGGTCTCATAGCACAGGTGGTCTCTTCCTGGAGATGGTTTTTAAAAATGAATTTACTATAATCTGTTTTACTTACAAAAAACACTAAAACTGTAAAAGTGGTGCTGTAGCGACAGCACTTGCTCCAAATTGGTAGGAATGGTTCATCTTTCTGGAAATACGAAAAAAAACACAAAAAAGGTGAGGATCTGTAAATACCTAAAGAAATGACAGCAATGTGTCAAAATTTGGAACCTAAAACAGTCCTTTGCAATGGTTGTAGTGTCTTACAAAACACATAATACCTGTATTTCAGAAAATCAGATAAAATGAATTTAACTGTGGTAGAATATTAATGATAAGAGTAAAAATGGATTCGCAGCACCACAAAAGAAGGTGAACATATTTCTTCTTATCTGTATAGACAAAGCTGTTTTGAGCTTTATTATCACACATGTATTCCAGTAAAATGTAATGTTAAGATGTTACATAAACCAATGTTACATTAAGTGACATGTCCATATTAAGCAATGTGATATTAAATGGAACCGAAGGTTTACCTTAGTGACAGGATTGGTTTTCCTATGTCGAACTCCAGCTTCAAACTCAGGTCTGACGGTTTCCTTCAAAGAAAGTATACATATGATTTAAATAATTTTTTACCCTGTTTGTCAATTTAAATCCTGTATACAGCAATAGCAATTAGTAAAACCTTGACATACCTACACTATTTGTAAATTAAAACTTCACTGCAATCATTTGTCTGTGAAACTTTTCGGTTGTTACACTGCCATCGATTGTCTTGCAAAGCCTAGCAAAAGTTTGGGTTTGGCAATATATTGAAAGGATTTCAATATATTTAGTTTGAAAGTTTGGTGATAAATGTTACCCATTAGTATAATGAAAAGGCCTTATCAGGAATTAATAATTATTTTGAAATTCAATAAAACTTTATCAATTTGATCTATATAAACTACTCCTGACTGTATTTAAACTAGATAAGTTACAGAACCTGATAATAAGATACTACTGGCTGAAAATGAACTAAAACCTACTGACAGTACTCAATATATGATTTGGAATGGGATGTGATGCGCCTATAAAATGGTAGGGTTTAAAAAGATATTTTTAAAGCTGATTAACAATGTTGCAATATCAACCCCAGTCAAAGCAGCTTGGAACACTCTGTATGACATGAGCTTCCATTCATATCTTTACACTAAGAAGGTCTGAAGGCCCTGTACACAGTAGTACTGAACCTCTCAAACATATACACACCTCTTCCAGCTCAAAGTCTGCTACATCCCATTCATATTCAAGTTCTGCTGCTTTCCTCTTCCAAAACTCTTGGAAAAATGAGGCTACAAACAAGACAATCAATTGTAGTTCATAAATACCACTTGCTTCTTCATAAATATCCTAGATTCTGGAGAGATCACAGACAATCAGAGGATCAACGTGATACTGACCTGACAAACTACTTCAAAAAAAATGTGTAAAGATCTAAAATAGCAGCTAATGGTCATCTTCAAAAACTATCACAGATAAGTATGGCATATACAACTTGGACCCAAACAGAACATGTTCAGTACAAAGACTTTTTATTTCATTTTTAATACATGTTTTTTTTTTTTTGTAATTCTTGAGAAATATCAAAGAGGAATTTCAAAGGAAAAAAAACCCAACTAATTACACCCTTTTGTCTCTTTGAGGTGAGTCACTACAATGTAATTGCTGTAATTGTTTCAATAATTCGTTACAAACCCCATAATGCCATGACGAGTGCGAAGGCCACAGTGGCGTAATTGTCAAACCAGTAAGTCGCACGGGAGTAATTACAACTGTCGTGAAGTTTCCAGTAGGAACAACGTTTGTCACATAATGGACACATTGTCAGGTTTCCTACCCCAGACTCATCACAGATCTCAGAACTGAAACATAAAACACAGTGTGATATATACCAACTTCCTAACCCAGGCTTGTTATAAGTCTCTAAAACACAAACACTGTGATATTTCGTACCGACTTCCTAACACCAAAATTTAACAACGGCATGAATAACATAAATTCCATCAGAAATTTTGTGATGATATAGCTAGGTGTTACATAAATTAGTACAAATATCTACCTGGCTTCATCACTGGAGAAAGTTGCCAAGCCGTAGATAAAAGCAATCAAACCCAAGATGGCAGCTGGAATCAGCACAGATGTGTAATACCCCAGCCAGGCAAAGTAAATTCCGACCTTCTCACCAAAGTAGGCCCTGGAAAAAATCATAAAATAATTATTTAACCATACAAATTAGATATCAACCAGACCAAAAAAGGCCCTGAAGATATCATAAAAATACATTCAACTTTTCAGAATGTAAGTCCTTTATTTCAGACAAGTCTACATCATCACATTTACAAAATGAATGTCCTCGTTTTCAAAACTAATACATTTACATTACCAGCACTAAATTAAGCAGTTTCATGAACCAGAGAAGTAGTCAAACTGGATGTTGGAAATCGACTGTAAATACCGGGATAGCATAGACAGGTAAATGTGTATATAACACATACCATCCATAACAAAAAGTAACTCTTTTACTGTGTTGTCTCTTTAACTGTATTTTTTTCAAATGTATCAAATTCAAGGCTTTTCTGAGAGATTATGTCTTTTTACTTGTTGTCCTTGAGAATTTATTTTGATTTTCTCTCAATTTTTCATCAGATTTAAGGATTTTGTATAAGTTGAAGTATTTCAATAAGAAATTCAATAATTTTTCAAAGTGAAAATTGATTTCCTCACATTGAAGAGTGTTAAAACATCCAAATTTAAATCAAGAAATCATGTTTTTAAAAATATACATCTACCAAGCCCGAGACACAATTCCAGGCTTTTTCCAGTTTGCAATGACCTTGTGAATGTGTGGCGGTTCTTCCTGGCTATCCTGTACACAAGGTTACAAGGGCAGCTCGGTTGAAATTGCCATAACTCTGACAATTTTGTTTCAATTTATTCCTTAAAACCCAAAATTCATTGACTAGTCACCCATGAAAGCTTACCTTATTTCATCGAGTGGCTGGTATTTGTACCATGCTCCTGGTCTGGCCCAAACCTCATAAAGCAGCTGAAAAACCCATTCATTTTGACAATTTATCTCAGTATATTAATGTACTGTTCTTTTAAACTCAAATTTCATGTGGCTCCCAAAGTTTAACCTGTTCAGACTGTCACCTGGATAAAGAGGACAACCTGTGTATATGGGCCAGCTTCCACAGTCGAACCTGTCTAAACTGACATTTGTGATAAGAGGGAAATATGTGTATAAGGAACACTTTTTGTTGTAAGACCTGTCTAAACTGACATTTGTGATAAGAAAAAAACCTTATAATGACACAAAGATAATTTGTATTAATCTTACACCTTCCTTTTATCAAACATTTTATCACAGCTGTTCAATACTTCATATTTAATTTGATGAATAAATATCTATTATAAGTTTCACAACTGTCTTTAATTATAACACACAAACTCACATGTCTATCATTTGCTTTGCCTCTTGTCAGCAGGGAATGTTCACTCGTGTAGCGACCCTGTAACAAAGAAAAGAATTCTTGACAGCAGAATCTTAACCACACTTCAAGGAAATCAATCATGTCAGATTTTAAGAGGAATACAGGTACATATAGCTAAGTCAAACAGGTGTAGAGAGCATTAAGCAACTTTTTTTGTATTTGTTGGGTTCATTTTGAGGCTAAGTCTCCTTGCAGTAGTTGCTGGCTACCATACTGAACACCTGGAAGGCCCATTCCGTTTTAACCAGAGCAACATGCTACCATTACAGGCCAAAATACTGTAAATCACTTATATTTTGCATGGATTTCATTTGCAGGTGTTAATATGCAAATTCAAATCTCTTGAAATTTTTTGTACGAAAATAACTCTAGATGGCATCCATATTGCTTCGGTTACAGATATAGTAGTCTTGAATAATCCTGGTCTCTAAAAGCTCATCATTCATGAATTTCTGAATCAACTTTCGTGAAACCAGATATTTGCGAATATGTCTTAAAAGGTAAGTTTGCAAAATCTAAGTGAATAGCAGCAGTCCAACGCATGATCTCTACAACCTCCCGAGAAAAACACAAACATGTTGGGATCATCAAACCCTACACCACAGATTTTCACCAGACTACAAAGCCCGATGTTCTACCAATTAACTGACCGGTCTAACATGACCCCCTCAGATTTGTTGCTTAAATTTATCACTCAGTAAACAGCCAGGGTCATTTTGAGGTGGGAATTCCTTGCAGTAGCCGCTGGCTACTTCACTGTACAACATTACACTTTCTGTTTTGTTTTGAGTTTAATGTTCACAAAAAAAACTATGATCAGATCACAGTACTCAGATTAGACCCAAACACTGATATATATACAGTCAGTCACTTACATCGTGGAGAGGGAATGCAGCGGAGTAGATCCCAGCACTTATCATCTTTGTTACACCTGGTAAAGCAAAAACACAGTTTTAACAATTATACTGGAAATCGTTTACATTGTTTTCTAAAGGAAAAAAAAGCATGAAAACCCAATTTTCTTTTGCATGTAAATAACTCTAGCAAGTTTTGCATTCAAAATAAATTCTTGAAAATTTGGCATGAAAATTTGTTATGATACTGAAATCACAAAAATAAGTTTGTTTACAGTGTTAACACCTGGTCATTGGACTCAAATTGCCTTTTCTCCCTATTTCATTTCATACACGTTGTATAACTACTTATTCCTATTTTGTTACAGAATTGTAACTGATCTGGAGAAAGAATATAGCCAAAAATTTTACTTCTGTGTACTTTACAGCTTGCAGAAGTTTATCTAAATTTAGCAATATCACTTATATATTTGGGAATTATATGCATTGCTAATCTGAGAAAATTTCAAACCAGTTTAAACAAGGTTAAAAACATCTTAAAATTGACACACACATATACATGCTATGTACTGAAAGAGTTATCTATAAAGAGACTTACCAAATCTATGCTTTCCTTTATCACTATCTTCTCTATCAAACACTGTGCGAACCAGAATTTCATGTACCATCCGACTCCTCTGAGCGTTTGTAAAGAATGTATTTTTATCCCTGATGACAAATCTGTGTGAAACAAACAGGAAATGTCAATTTCATGTCAATCTTTCACTGCAATACTATAAAAGTTTAAACTATCTGTTTGATAAACTTTCCAAAAGCATGCATATTTAATTAATAATTAAATAATTGTGCTTTTAAGTTACGTGTATTTAAGTTGTAAATAATGTAGGTATACACTACCTGGATACACCTGCTGCAATTTATTTTGTAACAATTTTTTTTATAACTATTAGGTTTAAAATGCATCAAGACTTGATTTTCAACTCCATTTATTTTTCTAATTGACTCAGAACATATATCAGTACTTTCCAGGAATAATATTGATTGCCCTGTGAATTTTATAGAAAATTTCTGAATCTTCAATGAAAATTATTCCTGATGTTCATAAATTCTGAATATTTACTTCATGAATCAACAAGATTTCTCTCATTGTTTTTCTGAATAAGAAAATTATTCTGTTCTAGCACCATTCAGTATGAGATGGGAATCACAACCTTCTACTAGCATTAATGTAAAACAACCTAGCTTAATTTTGTGCTGTGCAATATTCTTACATAACTGGGTGCCAATTATAATGTTTGAATGCAATGGAATAACATTAATTTCAAACACAGGACAAGGATTTTTAATACAGAAATGGTCGTGAGTCGCCACTTTGATATACAATTTGACCTCATACATTTTTCTCATTTCCCACACTTTTGTTAACCAACCCTGGCAGCTTCAACATTGATAATGAAATAGTTAAAACAAATAAATATTTTACTTATTAAGTCAATTTGTTCATTGTGACAACAAATTAAAACGTTTGAAGACAATGGTTTCTAAGCAACAGTTAACATAATATCCAGATTTCCCACATCACTTTATATTGTTTGGAAATAGAAATGAAAGCACATCTGAAGCAGAGAACGACAATCGCTCGAGACGACGGAAATAGAATCTGATACAGTGTCAGTACAAAGCAGAACAGGAGCCTTCAATCACCATGGAAATACACTCATAAAATCAATTGTAGAATATATTATAATGACTTCATACACACAGAGAATCAATACATTCCCAATGAACCATTTGTATGTATCACTGACAAAACCTATAATACACATATATTATAGAGTCATAATGATCTTAGATATAATCATATTTCATAAAATGATCAAACAAAATCCCAAATTATAAACCAATATCAAGAGCTTATATCAAATGGATATAATCATAACCTACAGGCTTTCCATCTGTGGTCAGTCTGTGATTCTAAGTGAATTCCATGCAGATATGTTATTTTTGTACTCTATGACCTTCCACATTTCGTTGTCTATAACCACCTTGTATTTATTTATATGTAATGTGCCCTTACTGTATAATCATTAAATTCAAGGAATATCTTTAAATTCTTTCAATAAATACCAAGAGTATCAGTGAAACTAGTGCATGCTCCCTAAAAACAACTTTACTGGACAAAAAATTATTAAAAATGGGCAATAACTTTTAAATTAAGGCGTTTCAGGCACTCAATGTATTACTCTGTACATACGCTCAGTATGACCAATACATACACCAAGTTTCATCATCCTGGCTTAAATGAAAGCAAAGTTATTCTTCAATATAAAATTTTCACAAAGGGCACTAACTCTTTATAGAGTTACATTATAGAGTTTCAACCCCTGAATTTGGAACTCTGCACACTGCCTTCACATGACCTATGTATACACCAATTTTCATTATCCTGACTTAAATGAAAGCAAATTTACGCTCTGGACACAAATGGTTAAGCAAAGGGCAATAACTCTGGAAATAAGGAACCGCAGGTCCTTCATTTGGTATACTGCACATCCTCTTAATTTAGCATAACCAATGTATACACCAAGTTTCATGATCTTTGCTTCTGTGTGCAAAGTTATGCTTCAGACAAAATAGGGCCGACGGAAAGACAACCGACGAATGGACAAGGCGTTGGCTACATATGCTCCCCTCTAAAAATTTTGGGTAGCATAAAAAAAACATGAATGAGAAATATATATTACGATTTAGACACATCACTATAACATGACCTCATTCACCAGAGCTGTTTATAATTGTGACTATTTTTATCTCATTTGACCATATCAGGAAAGCCTGTCCATGATTTAAGGTAAATTAACTTACAGATCCATCATTCTGTATCCAACAAAATGAGATACAAAGATGGTATCATTAGTATAGGATAAATATTGGGGAAATGATTAATTACAAACATCAGGGGAGTGGTATCTTCATGTTTATCATAACATCATATAGTCTCATGCAAAATGTAAGATGCAGACTTCTAACAAAATGCAAACAGAGTCTTATCCATTGTAGACTTACACAAAATGCTCAGTATCAGATTCTAAGTAGAATTCAAAATACTTTCTCTTCATCATTTTTCTCATGAACTTTAAACATCAACCACTTACAAATGCATCTTAAACTACTATTATCTCCCTTTTTTAAGAAGTGTAGACAACCCCTGTACATCAACCCTTTTTAAAAATTTACTCAGATCAATCAAAATTCACTTCAAACTAAAGCAATCACATTTAGCCAGTAAATTACCTCCTCAAGTTTCAGTATTTAATCCTATCCCACTTTAAACAGCTTTATCATGAGATTTTGCATCCTTTCAATACATAAATACCAGACTGAAATATCTATAGGAATTAAACCCCCGAAGACACAGTTATCATTGTTTAAGATTCTGTCTCCCCTGACTTTGGGTCAATTTTGTTCTTATTGATAAGATCGAATCAGGCACCACGATTTCCAATAAGATTCATGACCTAAAATGTTTATAAAACATGCATGACCTACTTTGCAGGCAACATGACCTAGTTAAACATATATGGACACATTCTGAGGGAGGGCCGGAGGGGTGACAATGTACTTCATAAAAACATTCTTTAACTATGCAACTAACAATGCACTACGCATTCATGTGAATAAAATCAGCCATGTTGACATAATCAGATGACCTAATGCTGAAAAAAAGTCTACATAATCCTACATTGACTGAAATGACTAGTGTTGCTTAATTACGCTGAATTTTGCCACACACAAATTTTGCTGCTAAAACTGGAATATTAATAATTCAAGTCATATTTTCACACTTGAAATGCAGGAATTTAAAATATCTATATAATACAATTTTTAATTCTTCTAATAAGATCTGTCACTCAATATAATCCAAGTTATCTTATGACGAAAACAGAAAATTAAAGACACCAGTGAAAAAAAATGTAATCATATGGCATTTATTTCCCATATAAAATCCATAAGATAGACCCCACTCTAAAAGACTTCAGTTTGAAATAAAGAAACTTGCAAGTGTTAAGATTTCAGTTGATATAGAGCAACTTGCACCTCCCACCCCCCCACCATTCCCACTCACCCATGAAAAAATAAAAATAAAAATGATTAGCATAAAGATAAAAAGAAAGCTTTGTAAATTTCAGCAAGAAATTAAACAAACAACTTTGATCTTGTCTAAAAGCATATGAGAACTGCTCTTAGATCTAAAGAGCGAAATGAAATGTGATTCCAAGAACAAATTGAAATGTACATTTCACACGAAAGAAAGTGCTTCCGGATATTGAGTTCCAGAGATGAAACAAAAGTGTTCAACTCTTGGCTTAGCCATGTTGCTTTTCAGCTCTACATCAGTTAGTTGTCACAGATTTGTCCAAACACAAATCTAAAATCTGGCAATTCCTAATGGCAAGAAAAAGCAAAGAAAACTTGAAATTTCTCTGATATATAAATTCTAAAAGTCAATTCAAAAGCAAGCAATGTCCAGTTATTTTCTAAGATATTTTCTCATCTGAAAGTAGAGTTAACAATATCATTTCAAAATTTCCTCTCAAGCCTATTCAAAATTGCAAAACTTAATTGAAATAATTCTTTCTGTGTATTTTTGTCTTGTAAATTAAAAAGGTGTATAAATACAAATTTATCAGAATATTTATTTTTCTGGCCTGGAAACATTTTCAAAGGTTTTTCTCCTGATTTTCTATCTAACACAAATGCAGCTGAAATAGTTATCAAATTATATTGCCTTGATATGACAAGACATTTTGAAAATTTGTATAAAATAAAATCAAGTTTAAGCTAAGAATATCTATAAACCAATTAGTATATTAAACTCATTTGTAAAACTTTTTGGAGACTGTAATAACAAGATTCAAGATGACGGCCCATTAGATTAATAAATATGGCAGTGGGTCAAGGTTACAGTTACAGGGTTAGGACTTCCACTAAAAACAAATTCAAACTCCTTGGGATCCCGTCATTAGTGTGAGGAATATACGTCACACCAAGGTTGGTCATAAACCTCTAGAGAGTAGCTATCATCCTTGAATGCCTAGTACAATGAATGATGTGGCACCTGCTTGACGAATAGAGAGGGAATAAAGGGACGGGGAGAAAAATGAGTTTGAAGAATCCAGCGTATTCGAGGGATAACAGCTTGAGGAATCTGAGGTTTTCTAAGAAGGAAACCATCAGGACTAAATTATCAATTCGACCAATTGGGGGACATTTGTGTGAAGCAAGTTTAAGGAAGTGGGCTTTTTTCATTTTTACTAGATTGTGCTAGTGTTAGTATATGACTCGCCACCACCATTTTATATGCAGGTAGAGCTACACATATATATACAGATTATATATAGTCTGAGATTTTCTCATCAATTATGCAAAAAAAAGCAAAGCTTCTTACAGCCCTCTGTCGTATGATTGAGAGTTGATGTGAATTGTGGAAAAAAAATAAAGATTAAATATATTAGAATTCGAATAGCATAATTAAAAACTTTAAAAATAAAGGAAAACAAAACCATATACATCAATATCAAAGTACCAATGTAATAAACTGCATATTGAATTAAACCATCACACATTAGGTACTCCGAAGTGAATTCTTTTCCATCATTTGACAATTTACCATTTTTGTTTTCATTAAAATACCAGTAAATGAAATCAATTTATTCTAGACGCAATATTATAACCAATATTAATATTTCATCAAATTCAATATAATTTTATGGACTGTGATGATTTGTTAAACATTCAATTTTCTTGCCCTAATAATATTTTTAGATGAAAATCAAAATGGATATGAAAATATACCGAGTTAGAGTTATTTACACAACATCCTCAATAACATTTTTTTTCTGTGATGAAACCATTGACTCTCCATTAATGAAAATTGAAACTCTCTCCAATATTGTTAACAAATTGATAAGGTAAATATTACTGAGATCTTGAAGAATTTTTCTGTACGTATGATCCTGACCATTTTTGTGAAAATAGACATGAAACTATTTATAAAAATTTCCACTGAAATCTGTTTCCAGATCTTCAAACCAGATTCCCCGCAGTAGGTAACATTAATATGCTTTACATATTTCTGAAAATAACTTTAACTGAGTTTCTTCCTTTTCTGATGTAAAATGACCTTAACTTGTTATATAAGTATAACAAAACAATATATAATTAGAAAACAAATCTCAAAAACACAAAAATGTAATAGACTAGGCATTTGTAAGCGAGCGAGCTTTCTTGGACAAAGCACCGGCTCTTGTGAACTTTTTTTGCAAGAACACAGGGTCTTGCAAATTTTTTTTTATAAGAACACAGGCTCTTGTGAACTTTTTTGGCAAGAACACAGCCTCTTGTGAACATTTTTGGCAAGATCACAGGATCTTGTGAACTTTTTTGGTAAGAGCACAGCCTCTTGTGAACTTTCTCTGTAAGAACACAGCCTCTTGTGAGCATTCTTGGAATGAACACAGGCTCTTGCAAACTTGCATGACAAGATCACAGGGTCTTGTGAACTTGCACGGTAACTATTTAATCCATTCTGATCAATGATATTTTAAAAATAAAAAACTTTTCTAACAAATCAATACAGAGTCCAAAGCACTTGGGAAAAAAGGCCTTAAGTGAATGTGCTGTACACGTTTTTGGTTTCAGACATTTCCAGATGTATGGAACTGAAAAAGTTTCCCAACACAATGGCATGTTGATAGCATAATATTGACAACAGATAGAAGCCATGCAAGTTGAAGACTCTTTGCAGCCGGCCAGCAGTACCACCAATACATGTGCTAATTAAAAAAGGCGTCATAATTTTTTATTCTTTTTGTCTGTGAATCATGTAATTGAGTCTGTCAGTTTATTCAACAAATATTGTGAATTTGAAAACACAAATATCAAATATCTATCACTTTGTTATCTCAACACTGAAAACTACCCAATTTCACAAGAAAGATAATTAAATACTTTTAGTGTTTTTCATTAGCTTGTCAACTCAAATGAACTTATTCATTTTTTCATGGTGTTTAATATATATAAGACTAAACATATGTTACATATAAGCTAGTCTTTTTTCTCAAATTTTCCGCGTGAACAGAAAATTTAGAAAATTTTTAAACATGCACAGTTCAATTGTCATCTCATATCTAATAAACCGGGAACATTGATCCCTGTATTACTATGTTGAGCAAGGTTGAAATTGCAGCCACTAAACAGCAGATAACAAAATGTGTCATATCATTATTAAGGACAGACATGTGACGTAAAACAGGACAAAAAAAGTTCAACGAAAGCTTTCAAAAAATTCTGAAATCTTAAGTTATCATGCAAACAAAAATACCAACTCTGGGTCATCAACAGCTTCAATCTTCTTAAAGGTCTTAAGAAATCTGACAGTCAAAAAAATCATTTGAAAAAATAAAATCAAAACAGTGCGGGGGAAAAAAATCCACTTGTGTGCTCAATCAGAATCATATGATTTATCTCCCTTTATTACTTCAATGCATCTAAAAACTGTCTTCTATAAAACCTTAAAGACTTTACTGAACATATTTTCATTCTAAACTGGAAAAATTAAGGGGAGAAACATCATTTGAGATTCTTAAACTAAAATAGAAATCATACCACTCACGACAGTATTTATAAACAATAGATAAATAATAAAAAAAGTGTATTTCATACATGTCTTTTACATAAATGGCTCTAGAGTATATTAATCAGTGAACAACAAGTGCAGTTCGTTATTTACAAATATTACAATTTCACTATCCCTTAGGTATACAGCTTCCACTAGACATATTTCTGTATGTCAAATTACAATTTCACTATCCCTTAGGTATACAGCTTCCACTAGACATATTTCTGTATGTCAAATTTTTGCTATAAAGTGTGTTTTTAAAAAAGTTGAATGGATGAAAGCAACTGATATCAATAATGTTCTATATTGATACATGAACCTAATCTACTTAGAGATTTGTATGTCTAACACCTTACTCCCAATGGACGACTACAGCTACAAGATATTTTCAATTTAAAAAGATAAAAATATTTTGATATGGGATACAAGTTACTAAAGTTATACTGTCCATCTCACAGAATAAATACAATTTTCTGCTTCATCAATTGAAATATCAGTATTTTGAAATTTATTTCTGCAGAACAAATTTTGATATTAAGTATGACACAAATGGGGTGTTAAACATGGACATCTAAGATCAACATGAAATATTAAACACCCTTGTGTATACATTTTTCATCATGAAAATAAGCAATTTTACCAAAATGTTCATACACACTAATTGTACTATCTGTAATCTGGATACAATTCCTTAAGGACTCTAAAAGAATGCATCACCATATTAGCCATTCCTTTTAAAGTAAATATTGTTTTAAGTGAAAAGCTTTCACTGGAAAATGTTTTTTATTTTTTATATTGAAAGCTGACATTTTATTCATCAAAAGAAATATTGAAATGTGTTCGAAGATAAGAAATTTAAAAAAAAAAACAAAAAAAAAATTGGTCATTGGTCAAATAACATTAGCCATATTTTAAGAATTCTGGAAAAAACTGAATTGTTACCATTTCTATTAAAAGGAATTCTCATCAGTACTTACTGTTCCTGTCGTTCTCTGTTGAAGGGAGCGGTAAAGTAATTCGGCTCTGGTTTCACGATATCCTTATCAAGTTCAAAGACAGATGGAAACATACTCCAGCAGTATTCCATGTAGGATTCAAGCTCGAACTCCAAATCATTTTCCTGTTAGATGAAAACACTTTGATGACCCGTTCCAATTCCATACTTCCAATAATAATAATGAAATTATGACAACACAATTCATTCCCCACTCTCTCCCCACCTTAAAAAAGATTGTAATATAGACATAAACTTCCAGGAAGTAAATATTCATTTGGTAACAAAAGAATCATAATTTTTCAAACTGGTCAGCACAACCAGAAGACAGTTTATGTACTGACCGCTAGGGGCATCTTTAGGTTAGTCAATTCAGCATATTTCGTCATGACATCCCATGGAGCATGGACCTTCACAAAACAGGTCTTTCCACTTCTGGACGCCTGTAAAACAAACAAAGGGAAGAGTTTAGAACAGCATTTTTACAATGCATAATAACCTGCTAAAAACCTTAATCCATATTTGATGCCTCGGTTGGCACCCTTTATTTTTTCCCTCGCTGATTGCAAAAATATACTAGATTTTGATGACTGCAAAAGGTAACTAGTTTTTGCTGACTGCAATAGTGTACTAGTTTTCATTGACTGCAAAAGAGAACTAGTTTCCGTTGACTGCAAAAGTGTACTAATTTTTTGCTGACTGCAAAAGTGAACTAGTTTAAGCTGAATGCAAAAGTGTACTATTTTTTTGCTGACTGCAAAAGTGTACTAGTTATTAAATGCGTGAGAATCAATTTGAATGGGTAATTTCATGCTGCATCACACTTTATATGTTTATAAGTAATTGTTTTGTTCATCAAAACAAAACATCAAACTTTTGAAGATCCAACTAAGACAAATGAATATCCATTTTTCTGAGTTAAGGTAAATGACCTGTAACAAAATTATATATGAAGCAACATCAAACTCATTTCAATGAAAGGATTTCATATAGGCTTTTTCAGGTTAAATTTAGACCTACATGTACATACAAAATAAAATATTCTGAAATGAAAATGTGGCCACAGAGGCCCCAAATATACTTGTAATTGTGAACTTGTTTCCTTATTTTTGTATGGAGGCGATGTCTTGAAAAATCGTTTTTAATTCTTGTTTCCAAACAATTTAAATCAATCAATTTTCTTCAGTCTGACATAAACCTAAATAAATTGCAACAATTAATAATCACATTTTCAAATAAAAATGAAACGTCTTTAAATGAAAAAAAAGTCATCTTTTTTTTTTTTTTTTTTTGCAAATTTTCATGAAATGTGACTTTATAAAACTGGGGATACTGAGAAATGTACAACAATTCCTTTTTGAGTTTAAAACTAATAAACATGAAAATAATTCACATATATTGTATTTGGATCACAAAGTTTTATCAACATTAGATAAAACACACTGTTAGTAGTGTAAGATGATGAGACTGTCAAACAGTGTTAACTTTATGGAAAAGCTTACAGACACAATTTTCATTCTGCCATAAATACAAGATGATTCTCAGAAATGGAATCACATACAAATTTTGAAATGTTCTTATTCTAAATGATTTCAACATGCTGTTATTAATATCAGGGGAAAGAAGAAATGCAATTATAATTTCAAACTGAAGACTTGCTAATATCTTTGTCCGTCAACTCATTCAACAGCAGACAACAAGTAATGTAGAGAAAATCCCTGGAGAAACAGAACTATATATATCTGAATGAATGAATGAACAGTAGATATATCTTTTATTTACAACATATATATAACTTGTATCAGTGACTTTTCTGTACCATGGTTAACCTCTGCAGGTAGTTCAAATTGACAGTTCAAATACATCACTGTATTTTCCAGGTTATAAGCCGCACTGGTATATAAGCTGAAGAGCCCACATATAAGCCGCACCCTTTCTCACGATGTGATAACCAAAGTCTGTTGATATAACAGACAACTCTTGTCAATTTATCAAGATTATCAGTGAAACATTTAATAGAAGTTTGCAAATGAATTATACATAGATAGTCCTTTATTTTATTGATATGTTTCAAAGACGTAAAATAACGATTATCAAACTTGTTTGGCTAAGGAGCCTTCAAAGATTGTCTACGTACAGATATATGGCCTGATGTTACATACGGTTGACTTAATATCTCCATTGGTGTCTGTACTCTTGAATATTAATGAAGGTCCGTGCTAACAAAATTCTTATAGTTCCATATTATTTCTTGTAATTTCCATGAAGCCATTCTTATCATCATCAAGCATGGCAGTCATTCTAGAATTTGACTTTTAACCTGATGACCAATTGATCCCAGAATGCAACAGGCTATTCTAAACTTCCGCTATGGCTTCGGACAACCACGAAAGTTCAGAAGATATTATTGTAATACACATTGAGAAGTATGAATAATAAAATCCACGAGAAGGCTATTTTTGTTTCAATCTGAAAATCCTGTATATGGTTGCAAAAAACTTGGTACCATCTTGTGTTGCTGTAATGGTACATTCATTTTTATTATTATTATTTTTTTTATTATTCTGCTGAATTTTTTTCATCCACATATAAGCCACAGCAGTATGTTAGCCACACACCCAACCAACAAAAAACATCAGCAGCTTATAATCTGGAAAATACAGTATTGTTTTACAAAAATTGAATTTCTGTCCACTTAATGTTCAAACCCTTACTTTTCTTGATTTGCTACATGTACCACATACATTCGTAACATTTAAACACGATGATAGATTTTGAAACTGTATGGTAACTTCAGCAAATCATCACAATAAGTTTCAATACAAGGACAGTTACAATGCAGGTAGTGGTTTATTCAGATCTTTATGAGTGACAATTATGTGTCACATGTTCAGCATATTGCTTCAGTTTAATTCCTTTTGACTCGTCTACTTGCCCGTGCATGTGACCCCAACTATGTGTAACATCAGATTGTAACAGTGTGATTCAATTCTAAAAGGACATTTACTTGTGAAGGGTAATATTTCAAACAAATAGCAATATTTGTTCTCAGAAATTGCTCAACTTAAAAGGCAGGAAGCAAAACTTGTAAAATAATTTGAATATTTCATAATATGCGGACTCTTGAGGAAAGGATTCTGTGTTTGTGAAGGGTTCGGACTAAGTGATATCAAACAATGGAAAGGCAAGGAACAAACAAAGACCAATTAAGCTGACCTCCTTTCATTGTTAAACAAAGAACTTAAAATTGACCTAAATCACCATCGTATATAGAAATATCTATTTGTCTAATGTCAGACATTTACCCACTGTTTCTTCCCCATTAATCAAACTTTTTGATTTTTTTTAATATAGTGTTAAATTCACCCTTAGAACATTATTTTTATCCTATTTAAGAAGGACCAAATGGGCAAAAGTACATGGCAAATGACATTAAAAAACCAAAGACCAAACAAATGGACACTTTAGTGTCTAATATGAAATATTTTCTGATGACAGATCTCAGGAAATGTTTTTGTGAAAAGAATATTTAATCTTGTGTTACAAATGTACAAGAATGATACTGTATGTATCTTCTGTTATAAACCCAGAGGTCAACTTCTAACTTCCGACTCAAAGTTGAGGTGGGCTTATTACAGGACAACGAAATAGCATGTTGGTATTTCCACAAAACTATAATATATATGGATGCTCTTCTCAAAAAATAATAATACAGAATTTCTTAGGATTTCCTCTGAAATTGAAATAGACTGGGCTTATTACCAGACATGTGCTTAACGTTGGATCAATATGATGAATTTTCATTTCAATTGGGCTCGGGCTAATGATCTGTAGTTAAAATTGATTAAAATTCATCATAATTGTAACCCTGTTCATCATTTTAAATTCATGATATGATGTCACCTTGCAGTATCATAACAAACAACATATGTAACTTTCTTTGGAAATATTTGTAGTTTGGCGAGTATTTAAGATGTAAAAACTCTCTACTTCTCATTTACATACTTTGTTTACATCATATCCGAAATCTAATTCCTTCATCACATAAATGATGTCAGATGGATTGTTCCTGAAAACTTAAAAGTACAAGTGCGTTATGTGTTTCAGAAATTATACAAATTACAGAATGAAGCAAAATCAGTGATATTAAGGACAAGTTTGATACAGCATTGTACAGCAAAGCCAGAAAACAAAAAAACTGCCATTCAAAATGGCCACACAGACCTTCATAACATACATTATACCTCAGAAGAAGATTTCTGCAATTAAATCCACATGGTTTCACAAGTTTTATATCAGTCTATACAAGCAATCATTAGTATGTCTCATTTGATAACATTTCATTTCATTTCATAATGAGTGTGTTTTGAAAACAGTTTTTTTCATAAATATATATTTAATATTTTAGGAAACCATTTTCAAACAAAGTGTTCAGATTTATGATAATTAAGCATAATTATTGAGGACAGGTCTTCCCCCTATAAGCACAAAAAAATTAAATTGAAAATTCCTGTTTTATGTTCAATTCAGTTGAAAGTGTTCATAAAATTCAAAGCCAAAACAAAATGTAACTGAAGGAGTCTTGTGAATCTAAAAATTTGCAGAAATACTATGTTTTCATCCAACAATAGTATCACAAGAATGAAAATCTCTATCAATTTCCTTTGATTGTGTGGTAAACTGAAGTATCATCCATGTAATTAGTTGTAAAAGTATTTTTATTTTTCAAGGAAATTGATCTCAACAAAATTTCAAAATGTTAATGAGAAAGCTGAAGCCATCCCTAATAAAATAAGTGTCTCCTTACATAAAAGTCTCCTTTGTGATGTTTCATCAGTGCAGGAGAAAAACAGAAGCTCTATGTATAATACATGTAAAGTGAAAGTAAAACTGCCTGAAAATGAATATAAAAATAGTAAAATCTCACACTGGCAAAAAAAAAATATGACTTTCTTCATGAAAATATTTTTACCTCTTTTCCTTCATATTCTAGTTCTAACCCTTCCTTTCGGAGATTATCTTCAAAAATTTTTCTTCGCTCCCTTTTCTTTTCCTCGTGTTCGGACGCTGACCCTGGTTCATAGGCCAGTACGTAATCAATCTTTCTCTGTCCATCTCGGAAGAAAAGGGTAGCATCCTCATTAGCTATCTGTCAAGTGAAACAAAAACCCAGAGACATAAATACAATAATCCAAACGAAAATACATCTACTTATCAGTGTGTTAATTCCAAGCAAGCAGAAGAGGATGAGAAGTTAATTCTGCATTACAGAGCGAAAAACTCCATGGATAAAACCTTTAATAAGGCAAAAGCAAATCACACCAAAATCAAACAATTAACAATCATGTATTTAATTTAATTAAAAAGAAACCATCGTTTGATCAATTCAATGATTAAAACATTATCAAACTTTCAATGTTAATCAATATTATGCAGAGATTAACAAAATCTTACTTCAAAGCATAAAAAAGAAAATGTTAATTGTAAAACAAATTGTCTTGTTAAGAAAATTACATTTTTTCAGGCGATTAGTGTTGCATAGATATTACGGCAAACTTTTAGCTAACTATAACATACAGATACCCTTAAATGTAAAACAGCTGATGTAATGCTAAAATTTTGAGACATTTAGCATAATGGTTCGAAATAATTGGAGAAAATCAAGATTCACATCTAACAATTTATCTCAAAATGGAATACTTCATGCATATGATAAAATGAATAAGCAAAGAAAAATTTATAAATAGATTTTATATTATCAAATACAAATGTGTCTTAAAAGTATGCCATTGACGGCCAATTCACATAACAGCCTTCAGACACAAAAAAGGAAGCTTTGATTATAAGGAGAGTTATACAAAGGTACTGCGTTTTGCTTTTCTGGTGTCAAATATTGCTCTATGCCTATAATTTTTAATTTTATTCAAATACAAAATGTCTTGATACAGCTCTCAATTTGTAAAAGCAGTGATGAGATTTTCGTGATTGCAACCAGTGGCCGTACAGATATCGATATCAGCACATATTGAAATTTTATTCAAAACCACCTCTGGTCCATATATTACTTATTATTTATTACATATATTTCTCGATATTACTTTTTAAAAGATTTTCCCAATCAGTCCCAACCTACATTAATGCTGATTAAATGTTTCTTGGCATTATCATGAAACAATAATACCGATACTTCCACAATTTTGCTGCACAGACATCCACAGATAAGTTCAATAGATTGTGCTGTTTCATGCCAACATTCGACTCTCCAGATTAACGGCTATATATACACATACAGGAACATTAGTAGCATGCAGCGAGTCTCAATTATTGTTAATCATACTCCTGCTTTCTGAAGACACAGTGATGATTTTTTTAATGAATTTCAATCTAAGTGATCTTAAAACTTTCCGACACAATAAAAACTTCCAATATTTGTGCTGAAAATTGACAAGATTAAATAATGGAAACTAAATGAAATAAACAGTGTTGTATAAAATGCAAAAGTGACATATAAACTTTCTATGACTTGAATTTTCCTTCTTTCGCTCTCAATTAAAAACAATTTCTGGTTTTTATCAACCACCTACAACATTGAAGCCTTCTGGATGAATGACAACGAGAGGTCCATGGGCCTAACGACTCATCTGACAAGGGAGACCTATCAATGATAACAAGAGGTCTGTGGACCTTAACTGTCATCTGACAAGGGACACCTACCAATGATAACAACAGGTCTGTGGACCTTAACGGTCATCTGACAAGTGACACCTACCAATGATAACAACAGGTCTGTGGACCTTAACTGTCATCTGACAAGGGACACCTACCAATGATAACAACAGGTCTGTGGACCTTAACTGTCATCTGACAAGGGAGACCTATCAATGATAACAAGAGGTCTGTGGACCTTAACAGTCATCTGACAAGGGAGACCTATCAATGATAACAAGAGGTCTGTGGACCTTAACTGTCATCTGACAAGTGAGACCTACCAATGATAACAAGAGGTCTGTGGACCTTAACTGTCATCTGACAAGGGAGACCTATCAATGATAACAAGAGGTCTGTGGACCTTAACGGTCATCTGACAAGGGAGACCTATCAATGATAACAAGAGGTCTGTGGACCTTAACGGTCATCTGACAAGGGAGACCTATCAATGATATTGCAGCAGGAGTCAGATCAAATAATAAGAACTTAAATCAAAGTTAAATTTTAGCATTGCATGTGGAACTAGAAAGCAATTAATCCTTGAAAATATGTTTGTCAAGACAGTGAATACACATAGCCTTAGTGGATTCTAAAGTTCAATATGGGTAGCCTGCCCTTGAAAATGATCACTAATGGTTCACAAGTCATGGCAGTCAGAAATTGGTATCCTGTCCACATGATGGACAAAAGACCATAAATAATCCTGATCATTTGGGTTAGAAAATGGTTTTAGAGTAACATATAAGTCCTTATCATACATATTGTCCAATCTACCTCTAAATACCTCTGTCGTTCCTGTTTCGTTTCATCACTACAACCATCTCCAAGTGATTCAGATTTATCCACTACTCCTGGTATATCGTCCTCATCGCCACCAATATTTGTAACAATGTCTGAACTCAATGCCTTTACCCCTACAGAAGACAATCCAATTTCACTGTCTTCTTCTTTCAGTTTCTCCTCCATATCTTCCTCTAATGATGAAGTGTTATCTATGGTGGAACTGAAGTTAAATCCATCTTCTATCGCATTACAGATTTCCTTTTTCAACCCTTCGTCTAAATCTTCTGCCATTTTTATAAGGTTAGCAACTTCTTTTCTTTTTTAAAGAATTCTACTTCTTCGATAATTTATCAATGTTTTTGAATCGATAACAACAATATATTTACCGGAAATTCAGGAAGTTGACCATTGGCTAATGTCCTGTTTGACACTCGAGATATATATATATACCTAGTAGATTTGTCTGGTATATGACTCCCTAGAAATACTTTCAGAACTTCATGTATATAACACCTGGTGTGCTACATGTGCATTATTAACTTGGTGGTTTCACAGTCAAAAACTAAATTTTAAAAACCTTACACCAGACATGAAAAGAATAAAAACACCAATAATTATTTGTATTTTTCAAGATAAGTTTCTGGCACCCAGAAATAGTTAAAAAAAAATAGCTTTATTCAGAAGACACATTAACTGGTGCAGTTCTATACCTGATTCATCTCCAAATACAGACATGCCTTCTTAATTTTTCAAAATCAATGTTAAACAGTAAGAAAACTCGCATGACTTTCTCTATTTTTTTTTTTAATTCAGTATAAATTAAATTTACAGAAAACAGGTCAATATTATAAAGACTCAACAACAAACTTATTTTTATCATCAAAAATTGTTTATTTCAATGCAATGTTAACAAAATTCCATATTTTCTGTACAGGTATTGATGCGATATTGTATAAACAAATCGTGCCCAAACAGGATTCTACATACACAAAACAAAACCATTGGAAAATTCCTACAGAATCAAACTTTAGCAAAGTCTGAAAGTGAAAATATAGCACATGAAGTGAAAGATAGATATAATTTAAATTTACAAAAATGAAAATAAGTTTAAGTGCAGACAAATTGGAAAACTATGACTAACATATGCAAAAATAAAAGTCTTTGTAAGATTTATAGATCTAATTAGGGGTTAACATACAATGGAAAGAATGAATTACATGAGATATACACCAACTCTAAGGGAAAAAAGACACCGACATCCACAAGGAAGAAAAGACACTGACATCTCTAAGGGAGAAAAGACACTGACATCTCTAAGGGAGAAAAGACACTGACATCTCTAAGGGAGAAAAGACACTTACATCTCTGAGGGAGAAAAGACACTGACATCTCTGAGGGAGAAAAGACACTGACATCTCTAAGGGAAAAAAGACACCGACATCTCTAAGGGAGAAAAGATACTGACATCTCTGAGGGAGAAAAGACACCGACATCTCTAAGGGAGAAAAGACACTGACATCTCTAAGGGAAAAAAGACAACGACATCTCTAAGGGAGAAAAGACACCGACATCTCTAAGGGAAAAAAGACACAGACATCTCTGAGGGAGAAAAGACACCGACATCTCTAAGGGAGAAAAGACACCGACATCTCTAAGGGAGAAAAGACACTGACATCTCTGAGGGAGAAAAGACACTGACATCTCTGAGGGAGAAAAGACACCGACATCTCTAAGGGAGAAAAGACACCGACATCTCTAAGGGAGAAAAGACACTGACATCTCTGAGGGAGAAAAGACACTGACATCTCTTAGGGAGAAAAGACACTGACATCTCTAAGGGAAAAAAGACACTGACATCTCTGAGGGAAAAAAGACACTGACATCTCTAAGGGAAAAAAGACACTGACATCTCTTAGGGAGAAAAGACACTGACATCTCTTAGGGAGAAAAGACACCAACATATCTAAGGAATCACCAAGTGCTATATGTTCTAATTAGGAAATTTAATAACTTGAATTAAAGGGCCATAACTCCAGCAAGCTTGGGCAGCTGTGTGGCAGAAGGTTCACTGTGTGGTATATTTATAGTAACACACTCGCCTTTCACCAAGGCGACCAGGATTTTATTGCGCTATTGGACATAAAAAGGTGTTACCAGTCTGACCAGGATGGTTTTACCCTGGTAACCTGGAAACCCCCACAGAGAGTCCACTAAAAGGCATCCTTTCAGGCCAACATTGACTAATAATTTAATTGGTAGTTTCATAAAGGCTTGTAAAATAAACAAAACGTATAATTTTTCAAAGGGCCATTACTCCAGCAGAGAAATGCATATCTTATTACTTGAGACATTACCTGGATTAGTATTATAGACTGACCGTGTGTGTACAAACAATACGCAGTTAGCATAATTTTTTCCTACAAAAATATTCTCTGTGAAGCAAACAATGTAACTTAGGTCATGATTGGTATAGATTTTTCTTCCACTACAGGAATAATTAACCGATTTTTGTATATCAACGCTGTGACCTGCTCAGTCATTCTCCAGGAAATGAGATTGTCTAATGTATGGTCATATCTGTTGTGTACTTAGGTAGGACAATTTACACCAAATGCTCTGAATAGCATGCTGTGGGCTTCCTGCATGATGTTCAGCGAC